CAAGTTTATCATTCTTTATAGGTGAGTAATACTCCATTGTATAAAAATATCACATCTCTTTCATCCATTCCTCAGGTGATGGACATCTTGGTTGTTTCCAAGATTTGGCTATCACAAATTGTGCTTCTGTAAACATAAGTGCTCACATATCACTAAGATATGATGTTTTCAGTTCTTATGGGAAAATTCCCAGCAGGGGGATAGCTGGACTGAATGGAATTTCCAGTACTAGTTTCATAAGGAGTCTCCACACTGATTTCCAAAATGGTTGTACCAGTCTACATTCCCACCAGTAGTGGAGAAGAGTTCCTTTTTCCCCACAGCCTCTCCAACATTAGTTGTTGGTTGATTTCTTTATGATAGCCATTCTTTCTGGGGTGAGATGTTATCTCAGTGTTGTTTGAATTTACATTTCATGGATGGCTAGTGATGTGGAGTATTTTTTCAAGTATTTATTAGCTTCCAGAATTTCTTCCTCTGAGAAATGTGTCTTCATCTCGGAATAGTAGGGCCATGATTGGAATGCCTGTGATTTTGGCCTTCTAAATGTGTACTGCTCCTAATTATTTATCAATTACTGCTATACTCTCTCTCTTTCTCTCTCAAGTAAATGTGGGTTTTTTTGTAAGAAAGGTAATAAAAGAAAACAAAAGACAAGATAAAATATCATGGGATTGTCCTGCTACAATGTTGTATATGGTTAGATTTCTAAAGTTCTGTGTAAAATTGTGTATTTTTTTTTTATTCTTTGATTTTTTATTTTTCATTTTTTTCACATTCTCTAGGGATTTAAAGTTTAGCATATCAATGGTTGCTGGAAAATACCTGTTCCATGTTATGTCTAAGATAGACATTTGATATTCAGACAAAAGTGATGTTAAGCTCAACTGCCTATATGATAGGGTAATAATATTATTAAGCTTCTCTTCAGGAGGTCTAACAACTTAAGTTTGCACACCAAAGTTTAGGGAAAAAATGAAAGAATACAAGAATAGCCAACAATTTTGTGCTAGCCCTTCAAGGTCATTGAGGACTCAGGATATAAGAGAACCTGTACTGTAACATCCTGTAATTCAGTGCTGTCCCCAATTTTCTGATCAAGGAGGTTGTGGGGCCACAGAGGAAAGTGATCGAAGATGTACAGTGTGCCTAAGGAGAGTCATACAGAGGCTTTCACTGAGAACAAATTGGTCACGCAGTGGCCATGACTCATCCAAATGGCTGACACTGACAAAGGATCTACCAACTGCCGTACAGGGTTTCAGATTAAGTCCTGAGGGGATTTGACTGACCTTGTCAGGAACAGAAGTTACATTTCTTGCTATATAGATTTTACTTTATCTTGCTCTTAACCATAGAGCAGAAAAGTGTAAATACAACGATTAAAAAGTAAAGCCATATTAATATTCTAAGCTGAAAAAGGTTCAAGTCAACAACTTTTGACATTGCCAGTTCTGCACTATTATTATGGATTACTGGACTATATTGGATTACTTTGCTAAATTCGTTCATCTACCATATTTGAATGGCAATGGAATACCCGTCTCTGAGAAAGCTAAAACGAAAAGGGGGATATAAATGAAGGAACATTTTGTAGTAAATTTCTTTCTCAGTAAAATTAATTTAAAAATTAGTTCTGTGTATGCTTAGAGTACTACAAGTAAATTTCAAAGAAACACATTCTTATTCCTTTCATGATCATGTAACATTATGAAAATTGTGTTAGTTAAAATAACGATGGAAGGGCCAGGGAGAAGACTCAGTAGAATAAGTGTTTGCCTGGTAAGGGCAAAGACCTGAGTTCAATTCCCGATTCTGCACACATAAAAAAATGATACGATGTAGAATCTAAGGTAAGCTACTTTATTTTGAAAATAATTAAAACACATCGCATGATCATTCAGAAATCATCATCCAACTTAACTCATGCTTTCACATTATCAGATTTTTGATATATACACTGGGGATCAAACATTCAACCTTGTGCTTGCCAGGCAGGTGCTTATGTAGCTGAGCTACATCCCTGGCCCACGTCTTATCAGAGTATATGTATGTTTCCAAGATATCAAGAGAATGCCGCAGGTTATATTTCCAAAAAAAGAATTGAGCTGGGTTTTCGTC